ACCTTCGTCCCATCTCCTACGACGATCGGAGGAGTGCATTGCGGACAGCCGATCATTCATCACCGGTCTCCCTTTAAACTTCGGATGGGATGGCGACGACGATAATGGTGGATCGGGATCGATGGCGTCCGCCGGCGCGGTTAGCCGTCGACCAAAGAATCGTGAGATATGTCGTCGATGCCCGGCGCCGTTTCAGGTCGGGCAGTCTGGTTCTCTAGCCCAAGACTCCGAGATGACAGATCTGGTGAGCAGGGGGTCTGCACGATAGACGAGAGGTCGAACCCGGGTAAATCTGCCTCTTTCCCAAAGTTGACTGCTTCGATGGACGAAGTTGCCCTTCTTGGCTGACACGGTGTTCCCTTTCGGCTTCATATCGGTACTTCTCACGGCGGCCACTAGGAGGGCACGGGAGCTAGACGGCGTGCAGCGTTAATATGGGCGTGTAATATGGGGTCCTCCAGGTTCCTGGAAAGATGGCAGTCTCTTCAGGTTGAGCTGCTCGCCTAGTTGCGCGAGCGTGCCAGCGGGAATTGTTCCAAGCGACCCAGTTCCACCTCTCGGCTTGTCAACCGGGAACAAAGTTTATTGCACCCTCTTCTTTCCGCCGCCTGGAAAGTTTTCTGGCGCGTGCGCGTAAAGGGTCCTTGCCGGTTTGGAGGAGGCGTGATCTGCAACGTTACGCTGCTCGCCGTATTGTGCGAGCCATTCCTTATTTCATTCAAACGCTTTTTTGCCAACACAATGGAGATGAGCCGATTCGACCTGGACCACAGCATCATACCGTTGATGCGGAATCGCTTCGATGCCAACCTCCCTCGTCGGGCTATGGATTCCTTAAGGCCGACTTTATGATCGGGGATCAGATCCAAAGTGCAGGTTCGGGGACCCAGGCAAACGTCTTCGCCGAATCCAAATACGCATCCAATATACCCTTACAGGAAATCTCCAGGCAAGCGCCTTGAGATGGGCTGCCGTGCAGGAAAGGTGATCAAGACGATATCGATGACATCGGGTACCTTACGTGTTTGCAGGGATCGTCTCCGTCGGGCGGAAGAGAACCAGGTCTCTTCGCCGTGTTACTCTCACGCTTGCAGGGCGATGAGGGAAAAACGCACTTGTCGTGGGCCTGTATGTCTGTCTGGCTGTGACATGAATGAGCCTGATCAACCGGGTGGCAAAGGCTGCGCCAGCAATTGATTGCTCTCGTCAATATTTCCTTCTCCTGATCATGTTTACTCTAGTATCCTGGAAGCTATAACGCCACACGGTCTCCATCAACGACTGCCGGGATTGGATTATATTTCCCATTTTGATGGACAAGCTTGCGTTACAGGACTGGAAGAGATTCTCTTGTGTTTTTATCGCCGACACGGCCTGGTGGTCTCTCGTCAGTCGGCAGGTCGGCGGATGGCCGGCTCGACGGCCGGGAAAAGACAGAAGCCACCCGTCACCACTTGTCTGGAACAATTGGCCATTTGACCCGGGAAGAGAAGCGTATCAGGGCTGTCTCATGAGGCAATGATGGCATACGAGCCGCTCTTATGGAAGGATGTGTCAGTGGCGTGAATGGCGCGCCTTTGCCCCACGCGCCCGGTCTCGCGCAGCGGTAGACTCTGCCTGCATCATGATCGCCTCGCCCGCGAGCTTCGGATGGTTTCTAGAACCGAACAAGTGTTTGGTTATGACGGGAACGTGAAGCAACGGCTAAACAAGCGTTTACTGCCTGGCTTTGCTGTCTTGTCGTGTTTGCATTACAATATCACAAAGTGTTCTATTCCTCTCAGCAAGCGTCACTCGCCCGCCGTCCAGAAGAAGCACCGAGTCTTCCGTTGGGCTTCCGGGTATACGACACACTTTGATCAATTGGAGCTCATAGCTTCCATGCTATGTTATCTTTTGGGTCTCTGTACGGGTCACCGAGGGAGGAGGGTCCACGTCATCCCCACGCCAGTTGCGAGCGCCACTCACTGTACAGTGTACAGCCAGCTCGACCGCTAGCTGGCCCGTAGATGGGGCTGGAGGGCTTGCTGGCTGGGTGTTGCGGTATAAGGCGAGTTTAGCCTTGTTATAGGGTGTGTGCGGTGTCAGCTCGCCACTGGATACCAGCTGGATTTATGGACTTGGTCATGTGTGTGTTATAGGGGAAGCAGACGGGGTCGGCAGGCCAAGCGGCCGAACAGTCCGTACAGTGCATTGATGGTCATAATGACTGCGCAGCTAGTGCTGTCATAGAACTGTCTGATATTATATAGGCGATGCCTGGGTTTTTTAAGTTGTTGGCGGTAAACGGGGTGGAGTTGGGTGGACCTGGACCTACCGGGTGGGTTTGTCCGGAGGCGTGGCTTTTGTCCGGGGCGGGCGGGCAGGAGTGGCAATGCATGACATGGAGCATTTGGGGCTCCGAGGGGCTCCGATATGTGGGCGCAGGACGTGAACGTGGAACAGGACGGGTTTGTCATGGCTGAGAGATGGATGTATGTGTATGGCATGGGGGCCGGGATGAAACGTTGGTCCGGCCGGTGATGGGCATGAAGTGGGCATGAATGGGGTATGCAGTGGTGGTGATCGGGGGGTTGGTTGTTTGGTACGGCTGTTGCAGGCGAGGTGATACGAGGTGTGGTTTTGAGGATCACAAGGCGGTGGTGGCGAGATGGGTTTGGGGGCTTGTAGAGTAGCGCGGGCATGGGGTTGATGGAGGGTTTGATGGATGGATGTGCTGGGCTTTGCCTTGAGTGGGTTGCGGCGTGTTGTATGTTATACTGGATTTGGGTTGCTGGCTGGGTTTGCGGCGTGTTGTGTGTGATGGGGACTTGGTTTTGGTAGGTTGTGGCGTGTTGGGTGTTGCACCAGTTGTTTTGTGGCGCTAGGCTGGATGGTTGTGTTGCTGGGCGGTTCCGGGATGCTCAATAGCATCGCTGGAGGCGGCGCATGCTGCTGCGTTGAGCAAGGTGCAAGTGTTGATGGGAGGAGCGCCATGTCGCAGTGGTGAAGGACGCTTTTGTTGTCTTCGCTCTGGTCAAACTGTCGGGCCCTGACCTGAGAATAGGTGAGGTTTCATGACATTTGTAGGTTGGCCCCGTTTGGTAGCTTGAGGTGAGACCAGACGATTGGTACAACTTTGTGAACTGTGTTGAAGAAAGCTGTTGTGATTAATCTCTCTGTAGGATATCCCTCGACTCAAAGCGCTGGGAGCTGTTTGTTGCTGTGCTATGGCGGAGCTAAGGTGTTTGAGCGTGCCGTCATTTGTCTATATTTCATGTTGGCATCGCCACTTGGACACCCGGTTTACGGTCAACAGAGGGTAGACCTGTGCGTCGACTTCTATGCTCACATGCTGGGCACTTGGACATCGTCAGGGCATCGATTTACATGGACATTGTAGCCTGGCTCTGCTTCTAGTCAAGAAGAGACAAAATATACAAGGATCCACCGGCCGTTTTATGAAAGCTCCCAGTGCATGCCCTATCTGGCTGTTGGGGCTCTCTATGGTGTAGAGGGAGTAAGCCCGCGATGCTGAAACAGGCCCTTTAGAGTGTGGGGAATAGCTTCAAATCGAGATGTGAGATTCGCCTGAAGGTTATCTGCTCGTGAATGTCGAGCGCAGCTGACTAGTCTTGACTTCGGCATATGGAAACTGCCGCAAGACGGGATCGTGTCGATAGAGGAAAAAATGGATAGTTTTGCTGGAGATTATCGTCGTAGAGATACGTAAATATGGCGAGTGATTCCATTGTCGTTGGTGACTTAGGTTTATTGCCCATATTAGATGACGGATTTCCTCGCTGCTTTCACCCCCTACTCCTGAGGAAGGGGACTCGAGAGTGTGTAATATTTTTGGGTGTTTCTCGCGGCGGGAAGGCGCAGAAGATATTATTAACTCTACGTGGCAGTTCTTCCTTCTCGCTGGAGATGCTGGGTGTGTTAACTGGGAGACGACGCCGTCTGGATGTAGAAGCCACGATCTCCCGGTCAAGGTACAATACTACTAGCGGGCGGTCTGGGCTAACTGAGCTGAGATGGCGACTTAGAATACTCATTGGAATATTCCCGGCCGTTTGCTCCAAGAATACTATCGATTTCCTTTTGAGGCACCGACCATCTTCCTTCTCCTCACCCGACCGAAAAATCTCCCACGCCTCAACCAAAGGTATCGAGACCAGAAATCTTCCCCACTGGGACGTGCCACACACACAAAACAGAAATAACTAAAATTTACAAATACCTGCCATTTCCGCTGCCCGTGCCACCGGTCGGCAGTCCGGGCTGCCGTTCCACAACACCCGAAGGGCACCGACGGCACAGTAAACAAACCCCTGAATGAGATCTCCCGAGCCACATCCCCACATTGCCCACGCGGGGGTCGTCATATTCCAGTCAAAATCCGCTTCTGCACCTTTGATTTGAGTCCCTTGCATTTTTTTGGGTTGGAACCGCATTTGCGCATCGTCGATACGCTTTCGCCGCGCCGCGGTTGTGCCGTGACATCGTGTGACCGCACAATGTCACGGTCGTAAACCAATCTCAACACCAAAACGACCACATACGGCCATACCCATTGGAGAACTCGGGATCCCGTCCGCTCTCCCCTAGATAAACCAACGAGGGCCAGACTAGTAATTGGGTCGGTGACGACCAGTGAATCCCTGGTGTTGTATGTTTTGTTTTTTTTTTTGCCCCTATTCCCGTCACCACACCTTTTCGGGCCTCCCTTCCTTCCCGTGCCTTTTTTTTTTTTTTTTTTTTTTTTTTTTTAATTTTGGGTTTTGATCCCAACTGCTATTTGCCATCTCCTTGCATTTCACAATTCCCAACCCGTCCCTCATCCCATTCTATCCGCCCTCGCCAAAATTTCATGTTGGTGGAGCCCATCGCAACCCGCTATCGCCCATCCATGCATGCCCTCGCCCATCCGAACCCTCATCAAACCCACAACACAACCCGCACCCTCTCCATTTCGTGACAAAAACATATCCACAACCTCCATCAAGCAGGCAAAACAAGCCTCTATAGCTCAGTGGTAGAGCGCGTCACTAGTAAAGATTCAGCGTAATCGAATCTTCACCATGACGAGGCCGTCGGTTCGACTCCGACTGGAGGCATTCCAACCCATTTCTCACGCAAGGCCCGCTTGGCTCAGTGGTAGAGCGTATCACTAGTAATGATAAGGTCATCAGTTCGATTCTGATAGTGGGCATTGAAGAGGGAGAGTGGGATAGGCGGTTTCTTTTTGTGGTGATTTTCTGTTTTTTTTCTTTTGGGTGTTTTTTGGGGTTGGTTGGCATTGGGATTTGGGTTGAGGGCTTTGGACACTACGATGGAGGACGGACCTTTAAGTCAGTCTTGTCAATACAAGTGGCCCGATGAATGGGCTTTTGTTTTTGCTGCCGAGCTGTGGGTTAGCCACCGCTGTCAAAAAAAAAAAAAAAAGAAAAAAAAAAGAAAAAAAAAAAAAAAAGCCAAAATTCAACGAGGGATTGAAGAGGGGATTTTGAACTTGGAAAACAGAAAACACCGGACTATTTAGGAGAGCAATGGGCCGAGTAATAAACACTCATCCTCAAAAACGAGGATGGATGGGAAAAAAAGAAGACAATGGAATTCTATTCCAATTGATCTGATCGAGCCCGGGATCGAACCGGGGACCTTCAGTGTGTGAGACTGACGTGATAACCACTACACCACTCGACCTTGTTGTTGATAAAAGGTGTCCGCTAAACTCAACTCGGGCTTCGAATTACTCGGTCGGCCGCATCGCGGGGACAGACTGACAAGACAAGACAATTTTGTCAAGAAGGAGGACAGCAGCATTACCAGTTTCGGTCATGGAAGGTGAGAAGTTGATGACAAGTATTATCAGTTGAACCAGCATAAACACTTGCCCAGAACAGGAGCGACTTTTCGTTGGTGTGTTTCTGTATATTCGACCTTCACTGCAAGCCGTGACGGCACTCTGACATCACACAACTATATACACTGACGTCGTTGGCACCATCGCCCTCCATCCATAAACCTTTGCTACATCCCTCATACTAACTCATCAAGCCGCTGCCTCTAACTAAGTTAAAAAAACGCCCGCAAAGGCAATAAATAATGTATATACCGGATTTTTGTCTTCCGTCAAATCATACCAAATCCAAATCCACACATCACAAATAACCCCTTGAAATATGTACAACGAACTGGCTCCAAGCAGCACCAAGTAGGTGTGGTGTTGAAGAGAATTAAAATAGAAAAAACCAAATAGAAATATGTCTCCTGGCAGGGAGACATGGGTATCGAGCGCCGATGATGATGAAACCCCAAGTGTATCCAAGAAATAGAGAAACCCAACACCTTTTTCGTGCAATCATACCAACCAGAACCCATCAAGATGCTTGGATTATAGCATCCAATGCAGCAACAATGCTAGCCCCGTGACGGACGTCACCATCCATAGCGAGCTCGCGGGGGCTGTCCTCAATCCTGAGCTGGACCGGATTTCAACTGCAAGCTGCTCCTCCACGAACCCGGGCCCACAAAGCAGGTTGACCTGCTTCGCCGCTTTTTCGTATGTGTTGACGATCAGCTGCTTGCGATTTCCGGTCGCCTGATGGAAAATGTTCATCGTTTGCTGGAGGCACTGGTTGCACGTCGGGACAGCACTGCCGGGAAGGGACATGTTGAGGGCAAGGTAGTACATGTACATGTTGCCGGGGTTGGTGGTGTTGGTCGCGGCATTGGCGTAGCAATACATCGACGTTTGCGGGTCCTTGAGACAACCGGCGCTGTAAATGGGAGCGTATGATACCATCGCCGCATACGAGTTGCGGATCGTGGGGTGACCTTGTTGATATTCGGTACCGCAATGCTCCTTCGCTGTTAGGTTCCTGGCTAGGTCGGCAAGATAACCGTTGCAGAAGGTGGCATTGGCATGGCATGTTGCATCAAGAACCTGTGTCGTGCTGACGAGAGACTTCTCGGCATTGAAAAATGATCGAGACCCCTAACCAATGTCAACAACAGTATCCAACATGTCACGGGGGATCGTGTAACCAACCTGAATAAGCATTGAGAGGGGATAGCATTGCTTGAATCGCTCATCGGTCAGGAAGCTGTTGATGAAAACCGGGCATGGCACGGAGCCATCCTCGGCCGTCGTCCAGTTTGTCGACAAAGTACCGTCAAGAGGACTAGGCAAGGGGCTTGCAGATACAGTTGATGTTGCCTTGTCTTGCTCGGTGGCGGTTGAGACGGCGATCTGGAAGGTTGTGGTGACTGATGGCGGCGCCTCAAAGACTTGTCTCCTCCGCAGATCCACCTCGGCCTCCGACATCATGGTCCAGCTGCCATCCTCGTGATACCGAATTCGGGGGTCGATGAGCAACGTCTCAACAGGTTCGGGACTGTCTGCCGTGGCGGCCAGTACCCGGCACGCGAGGGTCACGAGAGTGAAGATACCTGTCCATCGTGGGGAGGCCATCATGAAGCAGCTATTCAACACTGCTGGGCGGCCTGGTGCAACATTACTCTGCGACACGAGCTGCTAAAGGAGTGACTGGTAACGTCCGATCGGCTGGGTCAGACAGGCAGATCGGTGTTTGGCCGAGGTCGTGAGGGGTTCTCGAAGCCGGGGAACGGCGTGTCGGCTCCCTTTTGTTTCGATACCTGAATCGAGTGCGTGGGGTGTGAGCAAGGCCGGGCTTGGATCCAATATGGCCAATATGGGTGGGCGGGTAAATAACGTGGTGCCGTGTGCTGTGGCGGCACACCCAATGAGCGACGCGGTTTGGAGATATAAATTTGTGTGATAATGCCGTAGTTGCTTGTAGAAGGAACGAGGGGACGTCAGGATCTGACAGACGGCAGACTCGAAATGACAAGAGAACGAGAAAATCGAGTGGACGCGGTCTTGAAGTTCACTTTGGTTCAGCGCGGGAGTCAAGGCGACTGGACCCCGGCATGCTGCCAGGGGATCAGGGGAAGCGATCTGCCGCTAGCCAATTGGGGCGGTCTAGAGCGGTCGCCGTGCGGCTATCGAGCGTCCTTTCCCTTTTGATGCTGCTGCCCAGCGTCTCTATGTCTTGGCAAAGCGAGACCGAGGGGCAATCGGTCTTGGTGCGTTTAATTGGGGTCCTGTCATCACCGCATCTCGACCGCGACCATGACCACAGACGCTCGTGACTGGAAACGAGATACACGGGAAGCACTTCCATGCTTCAGCTGTCAGACACCCGCGGAGGGCGGGCCGGCTCAGCAAAACGGACCTTGGCCGGGGCGGAAGCTGCAGGTACAGATTGGACGCGGGGCGGCCGTAGATTGCCCGGCAGCGAGTTGCCCTGATTCTGCTGCAGCCTCTTGCAGCTCTCCGTGCCATTGAGCTGAACCGAATGCCGACACCATCGCGGGAGGCAATTGACTTGCCATGAACAATGGACGGCTGCGTTGCACCGAGGGACCGTGAAGGAAACCCAGCAGAAGAAATCTCCGCATAAGCGAAATTTCCCAGCGCACCAACGAACGGCCCTATCTGATGGCTTGCAGAAAATCAGATCTGCTTGGCCTAGCGTCGCGCCGGGCCTCGAAGCCGTTGCGCCCCATCATGTACCATGACTGTCGTCAACGCCGTTGAACGTTGTGCACTAGTCTGAATAATTGTGGGCGTTATGGGCAGAGAGCATCGATTCATTTCCGTTGCTGGTATCCGAACAAAATGTGTTTCCCATTTACCGGACAATGCCGGCAACGAAGAAACAAAAGAAAAAGGTCCATGACACCTGAATGATCGACACATTTGTTTCCGCAAAAGCCAACTGGACACCCGAGCGCTGGGGACAGGCAATTGCCCAGAAGGAAGCAGCCGGATCGTCGCCCTCGAAGCCACGAGGTTAGCCACAAGGGTTCTCTTCCCCCTCTCCCCACTCCCCGACGCCACCAAATTGAACATTATCCACTCGCAGGGGCTTCCGTCTCCAATCACGGTTGGATGGCGTCAGCAAGCCCAAAATTGACAGGCCCCACAAGGCCCATCCCCTGCTTGTTGATTATCATGCCTTCCTTCCCTTTTTCGCAAACGCTCGAAATTGCCCCATGTCATGCCACTCCATCAAATCGATAAATCTAAGGCTAAGACCCGCGATGTCTTGATGGTCAACTCTATCTTTCCCCGAGATACGACGTTGAATGTGCTGTTTCACGTCACACCGTTCCATAAAAAAAAAAAAAATTTAGATGATAGATCCATCTCATCAAGCGAATGTTTTTTTTTTTTTTTTTTTTTTTTTTTTTTTTTTTTTTTTTTTTTTTAATTATTTCTCTGCGCCCATTTATATCCAAAGCCTTTAATGAGTAGAAACACACAATCAGAGAGTCAAAGAACCTCAATTGGACCACAACGCGCCAACATCGTCGCCGCCAAATTTCCGGGGAACCATCCAATCTGCCCATCAAATCGGGGAATTACGCTGTCGTAGTGCGGGATGGAATGGGATGAATGTCTTGTCCGGCCTCTCGACGTCTATGGTTAGTTGGCTACGGACCGATACGACTGCAAAATCTTTCTCATTTTAGGTATCTTCTTCGTCCACCCTCCCAGGCGTTTTACCAGCACATCGGGCTGGACCGCTCGCTGTCTAAGACAACAAACAAACCCGAGCTGACACACACTTCCCGTGAGACATTTCCAGGCGCGCCGGACAGAAGAACACAGAAAGATCATCTAGTGGCTGCTGATGGAATGGACCGTGCAGTCCGTCAGCCTGAGGCTTTGCGGGATAAAGAATCTGTTGCCTGCGTCATGAAATTGAGTTGTCAATATTGATCCTGCGCCGAGACTTCTTTCAAGCATCATTGTCACGTCGATACCACGTCGGAGTTGAGCTCCTGCCGGATGCCCGACAACACATTTCCATCCACTATCTACAGTAAGTGATCCGACAGCCTGTCATTGTAAACCCAAGTCGCCCACTACCATACGTAAACCTCAACAACACCAAACGCCATCTTTTCCCCGTATGTACACGGTAACTCCGCTGTCCGCCGCCCTGTTGCATGATAACTTCGTCAGCCCTAATCAGCCCTCTACGAATGCAGTTCGTCATCCATCCCACCATCAACAACCCTGTCGATACTGAAAATAAACACCACCAGTGCCTGTATCAAGCAAGATACGTATACGAGCCGCCTTCCCTCTCGAGATAGTCCTTTTCGATCAACCTAGCTCCTGTTAGTGCCACATCTCTTCTTCAGATGAAAGAAGGTTAACTCACTTCTCGATATTGGTCTTGATATCCCCCGCATCCACAGCGCCACGGCTCTTGGTCTGATTGATGACCTCGGCCACAAGCTGTCCATGCGTCATAATCTTTCTGCTCTTCATGATTCTCACGATGGCTGCTTGTGTCTCGAATTGCCTGTCTGCCGCCACACGCTTGTGCGTCTCCTGATTTTCCTCTTTCGTCTCTTTGAGCTGGATCTGGTTAATCTTGACCCTGAACTTGGGGTCCGTAAACGCCCGGTTCACCGTAAACGTGTCGGTTGTGTTGACGTCGCGGCCTTTGGGGTGCTTGGTCAGCACGCGCACTTTTCCGCACGCCAGGCTCTGCAGGGTGCGCTGTAGCTCTGGCCCCGGCATGCCCGTCGACTGGGCAATTTGCTCGTACGAGAGGACTCCGTCAGTCGGGCCGCCTTTGCCCTCAACTTCGTTGAAGAGA